AAAGAAAGAGTGTTACAGCTGGAAAATGCCAATAGTTTTATAGGGGATTTTCAAAAATCAAGTTCCAACTTCCGAATTGGGATATGATATGATGATGAACTCATGAAACCTTAATTTAATTAAACTCCGTAAAAAGAGTATGAATGTGTGTTGTTCTTCGTGGAAATGTGAACCTCTCACTTCCTGCCATATTGGGCTGTGTTGTTGTTCCTTCAACTTCAAGACAAAAACTGCATCTGCATGCAACAAAACAAAACACGTACATTACAGGTTCCTAAATTATCACCACATGATTTCAACCTTGGTCCCTCACTACAGAAACTTCTCCCTATAACAAAACCAACACACACATCTAGTAAGACAAATATTTGTAACCCAAAGAAGACTCAGGATCAAATATATATATATATATATATATATATATATATATGTTTTTTTTTTTTGCAAACCCAAAAAATATACAATAAATTTCTAAAATAAACTTCCATACTGAATAAACTTATTTTCATTATACTAATTTAAAAGTTTTTTAAAAATATTTCACCATATTCTCTTAGTGGGATAAAAAAAATAAAGCCCCACTAATCACATTTTTTAAAAAGAGACCAAGTCAAATAAATGTTTCGTTCAAAAGAAAGGGAGAGGAGAAAAAAACGAATATGTATTTAAATAAATGTGAAAAAATTGATTTTGAATGAAGATTATGTAAAATTAATTTTAGTTAAAAATAAATTTAAAGTGACGTGGTATATATTTAGATTTTTCATCATAAAAACAAGTTAACAGGATAACTTTCTACGAAATTTTTGATCGGACGCAAATGCTACCTAAAGTTGTTTTTAGCTAATAATCAATTTTGGACTCGTAAACAATTCCTCTATATGACTCTAACATGTGAAAAACTACTGAAAATCATGTTGATGGGTATTTCAATATGATTTGGAATTTTGGATTGAATGTAATGCCAAATCAGACACACACTAATTTTGGATGAATGTATTACTAAAATTACTTTTCTCTCTATATATATATATATATTATATTTTAAACTTTTCCTTTATATTTTTGAGTAATATTGATTTTTTTTCATGTACGCCGTATTTAATAATTGTGATTCCTACTTCATTATTAATCTTGTCTCTCCTTTATAACTCTTGTTAAAGATATTAAAAGAAGGTATTTTAAGTTTAACATATTAATATTAAATATTTTTTAAAGAGTGTGTACAAACCTTAAACATAAAAATTTATGCACCATAGAGAGTAAATTAATTATCTTTTCTAATCTTACTAAATTGAGTAATCAAGTCTTATAATTTTTTTTATTTTGATTACATATCTTGATGTTATAAAAGTTATTAAATTTTAAATAAAAAATATGTTTTTTTTAAATACGCCTCCATCCATTAATAATGCATCTTTCTTTATTTATTTCCAACATATTCTTTTCCAAAAATATTTTTGAAAGAAAAAAAAAACTTTTAAAAAGTATTTTTCCAAAGAAAAATAAATTTACTCTTTTGAAAATTACTTTTTTAAAAATATTTTTACTCTTTCAAATTTTTTTTAAAAAACATGCTTTATCATTCGTCCTTTATCAAAAGTATGAAATTATATTAATTTAAGATGTTTTTAATCCCCTAAATTTAGATAAATTTTGTTTTGTCCCTCAAATTTAAAACTGTTATTTTTAGTCCCTATAATTTATAAAAATATTATTTTAATATTTTAAATCATCAATAATATATCTGAAAACAACAAATTATAATAATTATGCATTATTAATTAGGTTTAATGCGATATTTTCACTAATAGAGATATCAATGGATAGATTTTAAATGACAATTTTTGATAGATTCCTTAAAAAACTTGAGTATAAGAACTAAAATATTTTTTTTTAACTATAAGAATTAAAAAAAAAATTAAATTTAAGGGATTAAAACATATTTAAGTCAATTATATATAAAAAGTAGTTTTTAAAAGAGAAAAAAATATACTTTCATAAAATATTTCTAGAAATTACTTCAAAATAAAACTATACTTTGAAAAAAAAATTTCATAAGAGAAATAAATTCATGTAAATTTTGACTCTTTAAAATTTTATAATTTTATCACTTATTAATTGATTATCTAACGATATTAGTTGATGTTGACACAATGTATTGATTATCTATATTAATATATAAAAGGGATATCATTGTCAATAATTATTTTTTGTTTTCATTTTTATATAGACCATTTTATCCTTTATTTATTTTTAATAATTATTTTTTATGAGTAACTTTTCATTTTTTTTATTTTTTTTTATTTTTTATTTTAATACAATGTAGACACGTAGTGCCTTTTTTCTACTAAATAAATAATACAATCGTATAAATAATTTTACAAGAAAACATATCATAAAAAAGAATGGAGGAACAAATATGCATGAACTATTTTTGTAATAAATCAATTAAAAATAATAAATAGTTAATTAACATGATGAAAAAATATCTAAAAAATTAAAAATAAGTGACAAAATATATGATTTCAAAATTTAACATGAAATTATAATATTTACGTGAAAAAAAAACGTGTAATTAAACCTAAATAATAATTAATAACTCTTTGTAGCGTTTGACGGCAAAGAAAACCGAGGCCCACATGTATATTTGATACTTGAGCCCAAAACTAAGAAGGCATTTTCAACTATCTCAAAAAAAAAAACGTATCTAGTCCAGCCCGATCCATTTCCATGGCGTGACAACTCTCGTGACTCTGTAATTCGTGGAGAGGACGAAAGCGAAATGGAATATTAAGAAGAAGAATAAGCCCATACACACTCCATGATATGATAGTCACTGCAGCGTTTTGTTCAGTCTTGAGGTTTTCTTTTCTCGTTTCCCAGACTCGCGATAGCTAGCACCTTTCCCGAATTCTCTTCTTGGGGACAAGAACATTAGGCAAGAAATGGGACCGCCGAAGAAAAGCGCGGCTAGGGTTTCAGAGGACCCCGACGAACTGGTGCGGGTTCCATTGCAGGCCGTTCTCTTGGCCGATAGTTTCACCACCAAGTTCAGACCTATCACGCTCGAACGCCCCAAAGTAAACACAGAACAACGCTCTTCAATGTTTCGCCGTAACACGCATTTTCTAATTATGTATTTTTTGTTTGCGTGGTTTTTGAGGTGTTGCTGCCGCTCGTGAATGTTCCGATGATAGATTACACATTGACTTGGCTCGAATCTGCTGGCGTCGAAGAAGTCTTTGTTTTCTGCTGTTCTCATTCCAAACAGGTCATTAGCTATCTTGAAAAATCCGAGTGGTTTTCTCAACCTAATTTCACGGTTACTACTATAGAGTCGCAGAATTCAGTGAGCGCCGGAGATGCGCTCCGCGTGATTTACGAGCGCAATGTGGTATGTCTTCTTTTCCAGACCATGGATACAATAAATGCTTAGGAAGGTTCATATTAGAATTCTTGTTAGGCAATAGTTTCGTTCTTTTACTTAGAATTGGTTTTTGAGAAGAGG